TTGTACTTCGACAGTGCGAGAAAATAAAAACCGGAAGCGAATGATAAAATGAATCAGTGTTTTAGAAAACCCCATATCTCCATCAAGTGCTCGGCGTGTATATGTAACTTCCATTAAAACAGAGTATTCTAAGGTGTTCCATTTATACAAACGATTTATCAGTTCTTCTGGAATCGGTCCAATTTTCATGAATTAGTTTTCACATATATATAAAAAAATTTCTTAAAACCCAGTTTTCCGAGTCATTGTATCTGCGTATATTTTTTTCTTTAATCATACAGTAACTATAGTATGGACATTTTTTACTAGCATTACAATAAAGAGAAAGGAATACTTTTATGAAGTTTTTATTTCCAAGTTCTGCCAACAATATAACTTCGACTAAATATTTGATATACAGAGACTAAGATAAGGAGGAAGGAGAGATCATTCGCAATCCGTTGCTCATTCTCTGAGGCAGGGCTGTCCAACTGGCGGCCCGTGGGCTGCATGCGGCCCCCAATGCCATTTAATACGGCCTGCGAAAAGTTAAAAGAACCCCCTAATATTACACAAACGTGAAAATCTCTTGCATTCATGCCCAGCGAAAATATTGCGCTTACCGCACTCACTCTGCCGGCTTCTACACCCCTTAATGTAAAAATAAGTTAAGTTTCGATTTAAAAAGTTTTGTTCATAATGAAGAGGGAATATAGGGAATTTACTAGTTCATAAATTAAAAATCCCAATGAGTTTCACTGCGTTATGCTTGGTAGAGCTTGATATCATGCATGGTTCCATCACCCCCCCCCCTTGTCCAACTGGCGGCCTACGGTGCCATTTATTGTGCCCCGCAAAAAGTAATTCGTCAAAAGTGTTTCCCGTGTCAGAGCAGGCGGACTGAGTGCCGAGACCAACAATATAGGGTCACGTGGGGATGGCCTGGGAAGTGAAAAAGGCCTGCCACCATATTAAATGTTTTAGTTGTGATCTTTGAGGCCTTGCAAGTTGGACGCCCCTGTTTTAATGTAATCCTCTCGAATTCCTCTGGAAATACTTTGAGGGAATTGTGAAAAGGTCGTTGAAGGACTCTGGCCTTTAGAATTACGATTTAGTCGAAGGTCTCTTTCGACTTAGTTATTTAGTTTGTCACAAAAATATGCCCTAAGGCAATTCATCCCGTAAATGTAGTACATGATTTTATCACAATATGAGGTGGTGTTCTCTCGCAGAAATACGAAATCCGGCGCCGCTCTGCACGTCAGCTTAGGGGATTTTCCCCATGCAAGTATCTCCCACGAGTGGGGTACCGCCCCAGCCGGAGAATCTCTAAGCTTTCGACTGGATAGTAGTGTAGTGGACGTAAATGGAACTAACGGGTGAGGATAGGGCACGGACGAGAAAGAATGATCGCGCGCGGTCCGTGGCCCACTTATTAGGGTATTGCTCTCGCATTCGCCAACTATTGATCGGAGAAATCACGGAAAACTACCGATCAGAGCAACCATCTCCTTCAGACAGCGGCTGAATTCGTCCTAGCTATGAAGCTAGTGTCGAAAATCCTGCTACCGTGAGGCTCAGACCCTAGGATCTTCCGGCCAAAGACTCGGGGTTTCGAAACTAGGACTTCCCGCACTACGAAACTCGTTGAACGTTTACTATAAATGTGAAAGTTGAACAAGTTTCGATGGGTAGGAGGGATTCGAGTTCTAAGTTGGAAGATTTTCATACCCAGCTGCGAAGCCCTGTCGAACTCAGTCGAATTCAGTTAAGAGCTTCCTTTGAGTGACACCAGGTGGGTAGACTGAATGCTGCAATCCTGCGAGTAAAATGAAATCACCTTTACCACGTGTGAGATGCACTATATTTTAGACTGTCTTAAAAGACTTATTTTAATCCAATAATACAAATTTCTTAATAATACATTGTTATATTAAGATCACTTTTTATTTATCAGAGAAAAGTTATTGTGTTCATTACTGAATAACAAGTGTTAACATATCTACCTAATTTTACACGTCTGGGTGAACCAGTGAATGTCAGTAAATATTCCTGTACATGTCAATGAAATGCTAAAATCCCTGAAAGGCAGTAATTCCGAGCAGGTGGAAATATAATAAAAAAATATGAAAGTATTATTTCTGGCCAAGTTGTATTTGAACATTTAATCACTGATTGATTGATGCCTTATTTTACGTGGCGAGACTCGGGCCATCGGGCCCGCTTTTCCGTCTGACCACGAAATTTCGCTACCCTCCTTTCACTCACTAGCGGAGAAAGGAAATATTTCTTGGGTGATGAAATAGGCGATTTGAATTTATTTCAGAGGCGTCATTTAGGCTTGAGGATCTTTTACATGCAAGTAAATCTACTAACATGGGACAGCCGGCTTTACTTCCCCGCCGAAGGAAGGCGTACAAAGGAATTTTTCGCCCTTAAAAGTCCAGCTTGGGTTAGAACCCGCCAACTCAGGTATAGCAGTCCGATACGCTAACCGTTACACCATCGCCGCCGCTAACATTATCTCATCTTCAGCACCTGTGCCGGAAATTTAACTTCTAGCACGGTGTGCATACCCTAAAAGCAACCGCTTTGACTAGTGGCTGTGTGAAAATCGAATTTTGTCCGCTCGCTGGGCGATTGGGCCTTTGTGCGGCGCCTGTGGGAAGCGGGAGTGCTAAAGCGCGTTCCCAGCCTTGCGCTGCCGGGCCTTGGACGGGCCTTGCCCCGCTGCTCACGGCCGGGCGGCGAGTTCGCCGACCCCGTGCTTCCTGCGCGTCCGCCACCGATGGGATGCATTACGAGGGGGCGGGTTTCGAGGACCCAAAACATCGCCAAAAACGATCGACGAAACGCTCTTAAAAGTTTTAAAAATTCACTGTCAGAAACGCCATTAAATGATATGTAGATTAATGTATTGGACATGAAACACAATATGCATTAAAAAAATTGTACATTCAATGAATGCACAAGTTAACATCAGTGTAGATTTAATGTAGAAGTTCTTCTGTTTACCCTACCCCTCATCATTCATATCGTATATTCAAAATCACCAGTCCATCAAGATTATTCATTCATTTCTTCGAGATATGACCATAAAGCTTTGACTCCTAATGCACTTTTTTATTAAATTTAATGTGAGTTCACGATAATTACATTAACGTAATTTACATTAAATTAATGCGGAAATTTCTGACAGTGTGCCCTAAAAACAAAGAAAAATTACGTAAAACATTCAGATAAACAAATCAAGCTGTTGGATATGTTACTGATGTAATCGTCGCTACTGCCATTCATTCAAGAGTACTCGCCTTGTAACTTTTGGTTTGGACTGTTCTTTACCCCGAAATACAATTTGATCCCTTTCCTGCTCTTATTTAAACGTATTTTGTGTTGGGTGCTCAAATGTATCCTATATTTGAATTAAGAACAAAACAATGTCTGTAAAACCGACGAACCTCCACGTTGTTCGAAAATCGGTACGACTCAAATATCCCTAACACTACATTAAGAAGAATATAAGTTATAATCACAATATTAGGGATAAATAAAATAAAAAATAAAAAAAAAACGGCCCAGCCACCTGTCCGAAGTGTGAAGGGATGTTATCAACCTCTCACATTTTACTTGAATGTTCCAGCTTTCAAAATCTAAGAAACTCTTTTGGAATTAAAAACGATATAAATGAATTACTTAATTCAATTAAAGGTTATAAATAAATTATAAAATATCGTAATATTGTTGATCTTAATAAAATGATCTCAATTATTGTAAAAATATATTGTACTTAATATTTCTGTTTGTTACAATTTTAAAAATGTATCTCTAATGTAAATTTATAGTGATCGCTAATGACCTTAGCTGTTTCTCAGGCGACCTAAACTAAATAATTAAAAAAGTATGTAAAAGTGTTTACATTAGGTATACTTGAAACATAAATCTGATGCCAAATGTTTATTATCAAACATACACACCCTCACCATTAAATAGCACGCACTATCAAAGCATGATGCATGAATTTGATTTTACATGAATTTAGATATTCTGCACATTTCTGAATTTCTGAGCTACGAAGTGCTGAAGAAGAACTAAACATCCAAAATTGTATTTTTTGTCTCATGTCTGCTTGACGTGCCCGAGGGGAGTACTCAATCTAGCACTAGGTTTTGTGGCGATGTCATCTTATATATCGCCCATAAAACTAATTTTAAAAATGGAGGTCTTCGAAATATGAAGATGTATTTGATATTTGATATTAAAAAAAAAATTGCCCACTTCCTAAATTTTTTGAGGGGTCTTTACAAAAATGCTCGTATTCTAGAAACGCAGAGAACTTTATTCTTGTACCATTCTTTACGCCCATTAAGGGACGCAATTAAGCTTTGTATGATTTTGGAGAAGTTACTTTTTCTTTTTTCGCCTCAATGTTCTCGCTGCATTTTTACAAATATTGTTCATGTTCTATTTTTCATTCTTGTGTTTGTATATGATAATAGTAATAATAATAATAATAATAATAATAATAATAATAATAATAATAATAATAATAATTATTATTATTATTATTATTATTATTATTATTATTGGCCGTTACTGACTACGTTACACGATTAAAGTGTCTAACTTTTAAGGTCAGCCTTTTCAGCAGCATCCCTGAGTACAAGATTGTTTCTCCTTGTAATGTGAATTATGAGGTGATTGGATGATGGTGAGGGGTGAGGGAACAATCATAAATATGACCATGCCTTACACAAGACTTCAAACTTGCAGCCTCCTCGGAGCAGGCGACAGCTCTTGCATCCGTCTGCGCCACGGGTGCCGGCTATAATAATCTTTTATTATTATTATTATTATTATTATTATTATTATTATTATTATTATTATTATTATTATTGTTGTTGTTGTTGTTAAACGTGCCAAGGAGGCCCCGAGTTTCGGCTCACTCTCCGGGTGAGCCGGGCGGAGGGTGCGCGTGAGTGGCTCGCGGTGCTGAGCGCAGACCCTGTCTCCCCCGTGCGCAGGACTGCTTCGGGGCGGAGCGCGCGGCGGCGCCGCTGGTGGACGCGTCGCAGGACTACTCGCTGCTGCGCGCCGCGCAGAACGCCACGCACACCACGGTGGTGCTGCGCAGGCGCCTGGACACGTGCGACGCGCAGCACGACCTGCCGCTCGGGGTGAGTGCGACGCGCTGCGCGTTCGACTGCTGCTTCACTGTTTTTCACATGGAGCCACTCGGCTGCGCCACCGAGAAGACACGACAGTCTTCACGCACTTCACGTTGACCAGCGCCACTGAGCGTGAGAAAGGAAGGATTCGTGCGTCACCGCTGTGGGCGGACGCATAGTGATTAATAGGGAGAGGATTTTTATGCTCTAAAATCTTGATATATGTTTTTAAAAATATGCTTTTATGATCTAAAATTTCTGAAATATGCACTTTAATATACACTTAAAATAAAAAGTATTTTAACTTAAAGTAAAGTTTTCTTGAAAATATATCAGGAGAAACATGCTTGGAATGAAAAGGTACATTTTGAGCAAACATGATACAATACCTTACATTTCGGAACAAATTATTTAAATATTAATTCACCTTAGTGAAGTATTAAATATTAATTCACCTTAGTCTTGTTGCATTTACTCTCCTTGGTTTTAAAAAAATACGTCCAGAAATATCTTAGTTTTGCACAAATATTTTATCATCTTTAGAAGGGGAAAAACGCAAATGCTTAACGTGAGTGTATTTTCATCTTATATTTTACTTTATTTTTACGGTTTCAGTGCTGCATTGCAGTGTAACAAAAACCATAGGCATATTGTCAAACGTAAAAGACTAGATTTTCTGCCAACAGGGTCTTGAATGTCGAAAAGCGTCTTTCCATACCCAAGAAAAATTAGAGGTACATTCTTGAAATAGCGCAGAGCATTTAGCTACAAGTCTTGCTTCTTTTAGTCTCTGTTTTGCTGAAATATAATAAATAATCCCCTTCAATTACAGAAATTAAGGAAAATTCTGCCAAATACGCACTAACATATTAATTTACTTAGCATTCAGTTCTATCAAAATTCCAAGACATTTCACTCAAGCAAGACTCATTAATATGTGAAATGATAGAAATGCGCTCCATAGTCATGAAGATAATATCAGTGGCGTGGCCGAGTGGGCTAGTGTGAAGGCTAGTGCTACTTATAACAGTTCTACTGGCGGTGACGAGGTAGTGCTCCTGCGCTGCTGGTGGAAGGAAAGCGTCGTTGACTACCGCAGCAGCGCTACTGCGCCGCATGCGGGACTACCTTAATTGAAACCAACATTCTGCCAGCGGACGCGCCACTCGGAAGCGCTGCTCAATGGATCTATGTGAAGTGGCTGTTAAACTCCGCAGGTTGCGCAGTTTGGAGGAACTGTTGGTTGCATGGACTATGGTAGTTCCAGTATTTTGTTTTGTTTTCATAGTATTGATAAAAATATTGTTTACTGAGCTGAAAGTTCGTGGTCTACTTCACTTACATGTTCTTTGAATTCTTTTCGTTTACACCTGCGACAGATTTCGTAAGTGGCGATGGGGAAGTGGTCGTAGAATTCTCTTGGTCAACTCGTGGTTGACTAATGTGATCGTTTAACAGGAAGCCGATCAGGAGGCTAATCACATTTACAGGAAACTAAACGTTTTATATGTTTTTCTGGGGAATCATAATGAATGCTAATTGACATAAATGGAACTGCTATTTTACTACCTTGACTACTCTTGGCATCGAATGTGTGGTGTGGGAACCGTCGGATTGCATCCAGCGTCTGCGTTTCCATTTCACTAGCTTCCCAGTTAATCCTCTTTGACTTTTGGCTTTTTGAGAAGGCATATCCCGGTTGTATCTCAATTGGTGTTTTCGGAGCCGGAAGGAGGAAATAGTATAATTCAGTTTCCATTCTGAATAACTCATGTTTACGTCCAACCGAACGGAATGCAATCGGTCTTTGCCAGTACGGGAGGGTAGGTGAAGATGGCTTATGAAAAGATGACCCCAAGATGCAATCGGATTTTGCTTTTATGGGAAGAGGCTTATGAAAAGTTAGCTGCGTGGTAGAATCGTGATTCGTTCAACCGAACGGGATGCAACCGGGCTGTGCCTGTATGAGAGGATAGATATAAGGCTTATGATTGGCTGCGGGATGCAATCCTGATACGTCCAACCGAACGGGATGCAATCGGGCTCTGCCTGTACGGGAGGGTAAGTACACGGCTTGTGAAAAGATGACCCCGGGATGCAATCGGACTTTGCCTTTATGGGAAGAGGCTTATGAAACGTTGGCTGTGTGATGCAATCCTGATACATGC